GATTCCTGCTCTTTGACAATCACACTGAAAATGCGGTCAATTTTAGTTTTAGATGCTCGCATGGTTACCAATAAGGTTGTTCCTAAATCTTGAATCTTGAATATCGACGACATGCTCCACAAATACCAAAAATTAGTGCAACCTACAATAAATAATTATATTAACATAATAGTCTAAAATAAAAAAAAAACAAATAACATGCTTTTATCATAAGATATAAATTATCTGGAGCATCTACTAAAAATAATTCTATTTCTTCCCTGGTTAGAATTTTTGATTTTTTTGGTTTATAACCGTCTGATTTCCGTTTTAAGAATGTAATCAATCTTGAATATCTAGCGATGTTTATGTTATTGTGCAAATTTACAGTTGCTTTTAACATCGAATAATATGACCATAGAGACGATGGCTTACGGCATTTTGACTTTTCCAGAAAAAATGCAAGAAATACATTTTCTGTATAGTTACCGTCTATAACATTCTTCAATTTGCACCAGCTAACAAATTCATCGTAGACCTTATCGTATATTCTCTTAGATTTGGCGGGTAGTAAACTTAATTTTGCATCGTCTGCTGCTTTAAAAATTTCCGGTGGTATTCCGGAAACTATTTCATCGTCACTACTGTCCATTACATAAACAAAATATATAAAACTTCTTCGAAAATATACTAAGAAACTTGCAATACGTGAAGTCGACTGTAAATAAAAATGGCGTCTACCTATTCTTGTCCTATTGACTTGGTTGCTATGGTAACGCGTATAGGTATATAGATTATTGTTATTTTATCATCTTATTAGTTTCAATAAGACTTATTTTTATTTAACTATACAAATGATTTGGTAGATTGTTATACAGGGTGAGTTATAATAATATCGAGGTATAAAATTTATCCAACTTGAAACATTTATAATAACCTACTCACAAAAGGTGAAAAATAGAAAATAAAACATGTTTATTAATAAACTATCATTAATACGGTCGTGCATAAAATTTTGTATATTTATTAATAAATGACTATTAAAACGGTCGTGCATAAAATATTGTATGTATTTCGGGCGTAAACAGCGTTTATGGACCTTACGTGTTAATAGCCCTCGCCTAGCGGCTCAGGCTCTTACTTACACGTTGCGGTCCATAAACGCCTGGTTTACGCCCTTGATACATAAATAACTATTAAAGCATTACAGATAAAACTTTTATCCGTCTGTGTTAGTCGGTGCTGTGGGATTATCAGTAAATTTCTGATAATCAAAAGTAAATAAAAGTTTCACTGCCTTCAAGTGTATAGATTACCAGTCATATTTTATACACAAAAAAATATACCCCACGAAAATTATATGGAAAATTTTATTAGAATCAGATTACTTGTTTACTTTTATATATCCCTTTTAAAAACCTCTCAACATACTGGGCTCCACATATGTACAAAAAAAGTTACCCTGTGTAAAACAGAAGAGATTTGTTATAGTAGAACGTCCTCTGATGAATTCATGTTGTTCAGGTATAATAACATTACGGAGCTTGAAAGAGAGATGATCATGCAAAATAATCTTAAATGTTTTTGAGAAGTTGCACACAATAGCAATAGGCCTATAATTGCATATTTCGTTCCGATTACCTTTTTTAAAAACAGGGCATATTCGAGAAAGCTTCCAGATAGTCGGGAACGTACCCGATGATAGCAATAAGTTGAAGATATATTGTAAAGGTTTACAAAAAATTTAATTAGAAAGGAAGGAATCAGATCAGGGCCGGTCATTGTTTTTGACTTCATTTTTTTTAGGGCAATCAGGACTTCGTTTTCTGTAAAAAAGGGCGTAGTTACCAGATTTAAGCAAGATGTAACGTTGGAGGCAGTGTATGGTCCTGACGCAATATAATTTTCAGCGAAAAAGCTGGCAAAGTGTTCAACTATGTCCTGGGCATTTTCCGAGTTTACATTGTTATATGACATATTGGCTGGAATTGAAGATGGCACGCCTTTTTTTGAGTTAATAAATGATCAAAACTGATTGGGATTTGTTTTAATGTTTGCTTTGGAGGTCCTCAAATAGTTTTTGTAAGTAGAACCAGACACATACTTAACTTCAGCTCTTAGGTTACTAAATTGGATGTAGTGTTCAGGATTTTTCTTTTTGGTATTTATTCCATGCTTTAGACTTAAAATTGAGTTTTTTAATTATTTCAGAGTTGAACCAGTCAGGATAATGATTTTTCGGTTGTATCTTTAAAGGAACGTTTTTGTCGAAGATATTATAGAGCAGTGGTCGCCAACCTCTTAATGTGTTGAGCTACTTTGTTAATTTTGGACTAAACAGCGAGCTACCCACACGGAAGCCACGTAACGCAACGTAAATGAAATAATCACAGTTAATTTATCATTATATTATTTATTTTACTATTTAACTGGTAATACATAATCCCAAGGTACTAATAATAAACTAATAACAAACTAACTAATATTACTAGTACGTACTTGTTCATAGCTACATTCCTACCTACCAAACGAAGGTGTTTGAAAAATAAACACAAACTTTTATCCAGCCACAACGGCATGTCACGTAAGATTTAAAAATAGTTAATAATAACAACAAAAAAGTAACGCACTATCATGAACATAAACATTGAAAAAATAAAAAAGCACGTTCAATAAGAAGGCTAATATTGGAAAAAGAAGATTCACACAAATAGGTTGAACTGAATAATGCTTTCACTTTCAAGGCAACACGGCATAGAACTGAATATTTGTCTTTACTTACAATAGGCCAGATACATTTGGTACTTGAGACTAACGATTTTAAGGCTTAATCATTTTGAAACTCAATTACTTCCATTTTTGTTGCAGCGATGTCTTCGCCAAAGTTCTGCATAACACAAGTTGCAAACTGTTGGATATCAATTTCCATAAAGGGTGAAACAACAAACTGCGCTACTAAAGCCATTTCGTTGAAATCCTCAAAACGATTTTTGAAGTTATTCTTCAGGGTAGAAACTATTTCTACATGATATTTGCTGTGATCGGTTCATCGCGTTGTTTGAAAAATTGAACTATGCCAGATAGGACTTCATTAAAACGTTTCAGCACCCGTCCTCTACTTAACCATCGGACTTCAGAATGAATGAGTAGGTCCCCGTATTGACAGTCAACTTCATCGGCCAAGGTTTTGAATAATCTTCTTTGTAACGCTTGAGCTCTAATCTTGCTCACAATTTTTACAACCAGTTTCATAACGTTGTTTAGTTTCAGGAAATTTTCACATAATCCTTGCTGATGGATAATGCAGTGGTAACAGAGAAATTGCGGAAAAGTTTCATCTTTACGACATAACGCCACCAGACCCTTATCACAACCCACCATAGCTGGAGCGCCATCGGTTGTCAAGCCTACCATTTTCGATATTGGAATTTTCTCGGAAGAAATAATATTTTTTAAATGAGAAAACAACTCATATCCAGTAGTGTGTCCTTTTAGTGGAATAAACTTCAAAAGATCTTCTTTAATCGTAAACGAACACGGCCATCTGGACAGTGTCAACGACATCTGTTGATTCATCCAGTTGAAGTGAAAAATAAACACAGTTATCTAAGTCAGTTCTTAACTGTAAAAAAATATCATTGCTCATTACTTCTACACGTCTCATCACTGTATTAGCAGAAAGTTGCATAGATTTTATAGCTGAAACTATCTCTTCTTTATTTCTAAAGTTGGCAAATAACGAATCAGCAGCTTCTAAAAACGCCTGTTTTATCATTTCCCCGTCTTCATAAGGTTTCTTTTTTTGTGCAATTATCTGGGACACACGGTACGATGCTTCAGTTGCAGCCTTATTTTTGTCGACTGTTCTTAAAAATATTGATTGTTGTCCAATTAACTGCTTTTTTAACTGTTTCAGTTTCTCCTTTCTGGCGGCAGAATGTAGTGGGAATGATTTTTCAAAATTAGAATGTACAGTTTTATGATGTCTCTCAATATTTCCTTTTTTAGCAACGGAGACCGAAGTATTACATAACAAACACACATTTTTATCTTTAACTTCTGTAAAAAAGTATTGTTCTTCCCATTCCGAATGAAAGTGGTATGTCTTTACCTTCTTACAACTGCTTGCCATAATATTATTTTTTGTTGTTCTCTACTAACCCAACCGCTGGAAGTTGGTTACGCGTTCAATTTTAAACTAAGCGCAATGTCGCCGCGCCGTGCGTATTTATCCCCTTCAAAGCAATCCTAATCGTTCTCGAACACTAACGCGCTGGTCCGGCTGGTCGGATCTAGCCGATTCTAGCTTGATGGCGTCAGCGGCAGATCGCTCACCGCAACGTTGCCACTGTTTATGTTTAATATTATGACAATAAGATTTTTTTGTGGAATTTTCGGAAGCTTCTCTGATTTTTGCAGTGTGTATTTTTTAAATTAAAATCGTTGTGAGAGCTACCAGAATTGCCTCCGCGAGCTACCGGTAGCTCGCGATCGACAGGTTGGCGACCACTGTTATAGAGTCTCTCGTAAAACATTTTAATTGCTTCATCCACGCTGCCGAACTGATATAGGTGGGTCCAATCAATTGTGAGTAGATCTTGATATAAACTGGGAAAATGAGCTTTTTTAAAATTATATTCTTTAGAACATGATGAAGATAATGTCTTTAGAGTAGTCTTAATGGAAATATCAACAGAAAGGGCAGGGTGTTGTGGATCTAGTCGCAAGAGTTCAGATGTTTCAGAGACCGTGCATGCATCAATGTTTGAGAGAACGAGGTCAAGGATTCTGTTATTGCAGTTAGGTATTGTATTATGTTGAGACATTAAAAAAGTTTAGGAAATTCATTAAACAAGATATTTTTCTACATGGATCTCTTATTATGCCTGCCTGGCATATCTACTTAAATTGAAATCGCCAACACTTATAACATTTTGGTCGTAAACTAAGTGTATAGACATGAAATTATCGACAAACAGATCATATTCATTAGCAGATATGAGCGGAGGAAAGTAGATGCAGAAAACATAAACATTTGCTTTACCCAATTTCAGTTTTATAGATGTTACATCAATAGATATAAGAGGTTAAAAAATATGTTTAGTGTCAAAAATACTGGACGAAAATTATTTTTTTGCACCTAGTGTTGCAGACATTTTATAGAATTTTCTATCAGTTCTGTAAATATTGTAAAGGTTTGGATTAAACAGTTCCGAGTAATAATGTCATATTGAGAGGAAGTTGATGAGTTAAGATAAAGATCTCAAGTCATCGTACGAGTGCCACGAACATTCTGATAGAAAAGAGAAAAGTTAGACATAGTACATTTACTTTCATTATTAATAGTTGAAACAGGATGCGCTCGATCTGGTTGCTACTTAGGAGACAGAATATTGGATCTAAATTCATTCAGAGTTTTTTTATATACACGACACTCATTATATTGCAAAATTGAATGATTTACGGGGATCGGATTTTCGGCAGTTTTGTTAAAGTTATAGCAGTTAATGCAGTACTTATTGCTGGGTTTATAACATTCACTGAATTTATGATTTTGAGCACATAATGGAAAAATATGAACAGATGAATTAAAGTGTTTTTCTAAGTGATGAAAACGACAGCACTTGAAGCACCGCCTTAGCTCAATGGCGTCAAAAAAATTACAATAATCGTAGCCAACAAATAGTTTTCCTAGTGACATAACCTTTTCATAACTATTAATATCTGACTGTATTATGACTTGGAAAAGTTTGTTATTCTTTTTCAAAGGTGATTGGGAGATTATTACTATCTGGACATATTTCATTTTTGTTCTGGCTTTTAATAACATTTATAAGATAATTTTCAGAAAGATTTTCAGAGATACCGACGATCTTGAAGCGAGGATTCAGTACAGGAACTTCTTTGATTGTGTAGTCATTGGCCAGTTTAACATCTGCTAACTTTTTAAATTTGGTACATTCATCAGAGTTTTCGCATCTAACCATTATACACCATCTCGAACGTTAACTACTTTAGTGATGTTGATGTTAGATGATACAGGGTTTATATTTTGAATCAGCAGTTTTCGTGACTGAGGTAGCTTGTTTTGTCTTGGGCATAATTACATAAGAAGGTTGCTTAGCAACTGCTTTCGAGTATGATACTTTATTACTAAGATCAGACGTGTTAGAGTTTGAAGAATTGGAAGAAAAGTCGTCGAGTCTAAGGGAAATCTTCTCGTAAATATCTTTTTTTTAGAATATCGACAATTTCGTTTTTGAAGCTAGAGAGCTCATCTAACTTTTCCTGGATGGTTTTTTGAACTACATCGTAAATGACAGATAAACGTTCGTCAATTGATTTCAGACTATTATTGTGGTCAGACAGGGATTTTTCTTGAGCAATGCTGCATTTACGTCTACAGAGATCACATAGAAAATATAAATTTTTACTTTTTGAAAGCATCGAAAACTCAACATTAGTTAGACCAACACAAGAGTAGTAGAACCATTTGGAGCAGACACCTTCGCAACCAACATAGCCATCAGATTTAGTAAGCTTACATTTACTGCACTTATAATCATCTCCCATCGTTATTTTAAGTGGTATATGTCATTGATATTAAAAATAGTCACAACTTTATTTATTTACACAAATGTTACCTTGGTGGAATAAATTGGATATAATTTCAAAAAAGATGTAAACTTTAAACACATTGATGACTCGAAAAAAACTAAAATATCTACGTTAGTCGAATAAATGCAGTTTTTCTTGCACTTCTGTAGTCTAATCAGTTGAAGTATGTTTCACATCGCAATGTTGCACTTTAAAACAAATTATTATGGTCAAATACCAACAAAATAAACTTAGAACCACGTTCCAATTTACATTCCACCAACATTAGTACATCCCGCTTATCCTTCTTCCATTTAGGTACAACTACCCCAGTGTTACTTTCACGTGCGATTGTCTTTTTTTTTTCAATTTCGCTTGAATGACATCCTGAGGATTACATTTTCTATTGCTTCGAAGAGTACCCACAAGGTGTGTGGACCGTTTGGCCAATTCGTGCGCCAAATGAACACTGTTGTAAAAATTATCAGTTTAAAGTACTCTCCCAGCGTCAAATAGGTTTTTAGTCAAGCCTAAAACCACCTGAGCATCTCATCCACAATATACTATTAAATTATGCGTGTATCCATTTTGTGCACATAATTTGTATAACTTAATACTAAATTTATGCCTCTTGTTTTTTTATAAACTGCTTGAATGAGAGCTTGCCACGAAAAGGAACCAATGTTTCGTCAATACATATATCTCTGTTAGGTATATTGGCTTCTTGGAACTGTTCCAATAGCATATCAATAAGAGGCTGAATCTTGAACAGCCGATCACCTACAGGGCACACTTGGTTATTGGATAAATGCCACATATGCAGAATCAGTTCGAAACGGTTTCTTGACATTAAGTTCTTATTTTCATAAATCATTTTTTGGACCAGTAATCAGAAAGTTTGGGCTTTCTATTTAGACCCATCCAAAAAATAATGCCTAGAAATATTTTTATTTCTTTTGCTGAAACATCTTTCCATTTTGTCAATCGAGAATGTCTAGATAAATTAGCATTTCCAATCGTTTGTTGCGCATACCTGTTTGTTTCTACCACCATGTGCTGAATAATTGCATCAGTTAGGAAGTACTTATAAAAGTCATAGGGAGTTTTTCCCCAATAATTCAGCTATTATATTTGGAGGAATACCGGCATTTAAAACGGAAAATTGAAAAGTCTTAAGGTTGACTCCAGTTACTGGCTTCCATACTAATTCATCTACGGTGTCTGTAACTTCTTCAAATTCAGAGTCCGATTCTGTCTGCATCTGACTGATTACAGCTTCGATAGTTGAGTCGACATTTGAGGAACTTGCACCGTCAGCAGGTGGGGCATTTTCCGTATCAGCACGTGAAGTACTTGCACTACTAGGGCGTTTTTTAGTAGAAATACTGCATTCCTGAAAACAGTATTTTTTCAGTAACAAAAATAACAAAACAAGGAGAACTTACGTACTTGTTTCTTTTTCCTTTTGTGTCTGGGCATTTGTTAATTGTTATAATCTGAACTCTCCTCTCCAGGGATGTAGTCATCTTCCGAATTATCTTCAAATGGGCCAGGTATGACTTCGTCGCTCATATCTACTGTGACATCACCATATTGATCTTTTTTGTTGCTTTTTTCAGAAAGTACCTCATCCATAAGAGAACGAAGCCTTTTCTGCTCACTTTCGTAACTGTTTCTCGCCATTTTTGGAAAATGCGAACGTCTACCTGCACGGATAAATACAGACTGCTCGCCTGCGGACTCTACGGCCTGTGCCGACAAAGCCGGTTCTACTAAGTGGGGAAGCGACGTTGCCACGAATAATTGTATGTGAATCAAATATAATTCATGTGGCGCTGTGAAATAATTTCGCCCCCAGAGCCGCGTGAATTATATTTGATTCACGGGGGTAGTTGCTACCCTTACAAAAAAAATCGAATTCCTCCATAATATGTGTTCTATTGTTAATTAGAACATCAAATTTATTAAAAAACAAGATGGCCCACGGAACATTTTTTTTTTACTGAGTTTGGCAGTTAACGTGTTAACTAACTACATAATACTGGTGGCCACCATGCAGTAGACCTAATTTCATATGCCATTAGTTGTCGGATACTATCGATAGCCCTATTGGATACTATCGATAGTGTTACCATCAAAAACTAGACTGTTTTAAGTAATCATCAATAGTTTTAAACTTGCATGTTTTTAGTATTTTTCGAGTTTATTTTGATGGAATTCGATCAAAAAAAAAAATTAAAATTTATAGAAAATATGAAACTTACCAATTATAAGTGAATTTAACCGTAAATGATGAAAAGCTTTCTTATTTCGCTTGCCAAAATAGCTATATTTAATAACTAATCTATTGGTTATTAATAGATTTAAGGTTCGATTTATCGTAGAAATTTTTTCATTTATTGTTCCTTTCTGAGAAAAATATGAGAAAATGCGTTTGAAATTCCCGAATTTCAATTCAAAAAATTGTTTAGATTGTCAAAAAATCTTAAATTTCACCCAATTGAAGAATTACAAGGATTTAGACAACCAACTGTCAGGAATACTGTTATACCGTTTCATCTAAAGACATTAGCGACCCTGAACTTCTTTGCTGGAGGTACATTTTAAGGTGGTGTTGGGAATTCTAGCTGGAATTGCTTGAGCCAACCAGTTATAAGTAGGTCAATTACTGAAGTGTCTCGTCTAATTACGGAACATTTATTAGACTATTAGACACATGGATTCAATTTCCAAATACAAATGTTCGTAAGGATTTAGTGAAACAAACTTTTTTCAAACATTCGTATAAGAGGTACAATAGGCGCAATTGACGGTACACATACATTAATAGAAAAGGTTAACATTCCATTAATGTCATGTGCATTGCTGATGCTAATCTCAAAATATTGGCCATTGATGCCCACTGTCTAGGACCTGTACATGATGCTGCCATATTTCGAGTGTCTGACATAAGAAACCATTTGGTAAGAGAGTATGAACAAGGTGACAAATTCACATTTAATTGGCGCACCATGGTGTCGAACCATGGCTTTTTACTCCATTTCAAAATGTTCAGCCAAATACCTACCCCACAAGAAAGGTTTAATTACCAGCTTTAATATGCTCGAAATATTGTTGAAAGAGCTTTTTGGGGTTTTAAAAAAAAGTGCCTGTTTATCTCAAGTACTTCTCAGTAAAGCAGCATATATAATATACGCATGTGCGGTTTGTCACATTAACTAAAAATCTGGATTAGGATATTCTTGACAATGATGAAGATGACGAACAACCAGAAAACGTGGACGATAACATACAAAATAACTTAAACATTACCAACTTGGGTATGCAGGCTAGAAATCAATACGTACATAATAATTTTTTTTGAACTTGTTAATTTGTACACAATAAAACAAACTATATTTAGAGTTTTCATCTATTTTTAAAATATACAAAGTGTCCCAAAAAACACTTTACATGTGGGTTTTGGATGAAAATAATAAAACAAAATAATTTATGGAAATTTTTATTTTCAAATTTATATTTGGCAATTTTAAAATTTAATTCCCTTTCCTTTAATTTTCATTCCTCTATCTTAACAAGCTTGTACACCTCTACAAATTTTCCAATTTCATTGCTTACAGCTTGCGATGTCTGCGTATTATTTTCATAAGCTGCTTTTAATTTATCAGCTGAAACAATTAAAGTTGGTTTTGCCTTGGCTTGTTTCCGCCTTGGTGTTGAATTAATTACGGGCCGAGGTGTGGACACATTTTCTGTTTTAGTCTGGTGACTGTTATTCATGACTGGCATGTCAACACTCTCATGTACTGCCTCACTGTCAAAATCTGCTGTAATTAGAATTTCCTCGAATGTCAATTCTGGTTTATGTGCATAATCAGCGGCAGCAGAAATTGAAGTACAAGCACTTGATGTTGAAGGTAACCCGCCACTAATAGCCACAAGAAGAGTACCTGTTACAGCTACTTTTTCCCACACAGTAAACCTCTTTCTACTTGTTCCGTCATATCTATCTTTTCTCCAAGTCCACCACCAGTTGCCATTCTACATTCTACCAATTTTCTGTACTTAGCTCTTGTCGAGTTTTTCCAATCCTTGAATCTCTGTTAAAAAAAAGTCAAATTAATATATTATGGATTTCAAATAGTTACTCGGTTTTAATATAAAATATTTTATAAAACTAACCTTTTGCCATGCTTCCTTTGTCAATACAGGCCTCTTTCCTAAAGAATTTAATTCTATGGTAAGTTTTTTCCACTTATTCTTAATATATTTTGGTTCGACTGTTGGAGTTACAACCCTGCTTCTAAATATATAGTCGCCTTCCATGTGCTCCAAATATATATCACACTGTTCCACTAATGTATTTTCTGTTCTCTTTCTCTTTGAAACGCTAAAGTAATAATAAATAAAAGTATGAACAATGAGTAAAATTTTAGAAAAATTACCTGCTTTCGGCCATAATAGTAAAAAAATACTATTTTAATCAAAATACACTTATTTTCTCTACACACTTTCTAAACTCCAATAATTCTCCACGTTTTTCTGCTTTCCACTAATAACTTATAGGTTTTAAAATTGCGAATTTTAGCGGTATTTTCCAACGGAACATCGAAATTTATATCCCATGAAGTTAGCTTCACTGTAAATTTCAAAATGTATCTGGCCTCCTTACAGCGGGCAGTACAGAATCGCAATTTCGTGATGATCTGTAAGCAACGTAATTACATCGCTATGTAGACTACATCAATGTCAGTTTTAAGGTATTGTAGAGCTGAGTTATAGAATAGCGTAATTATTGTGTACTTGCGGGAACGTAGGAACAGTTGATAGCCTAACCAGTAGGCAGAGAAAAATAAGACTGTATGTCTTTCAAAATTGTTCTATTAAATAATAGTTAAAAAAATGTATTAAAAAGAATAAAAAGGTTAAGAAAAAAACGATTGAGATCAAATCACTTACCCAAACTACATCTAGGGGGTGACGTGAGAGCTCTCCTTAATTTCGGTATCCAAGGGATGATCCAGGCTTTTTTCCTAGCACAGGTTTTGTTCTTATTTTACTGATAAGAACGTTTTGAAGCACACATTTAAAATTTACCGGTTCTCGAAACGGTTCATTTTGTACTGACCTTTTCAGAGGTCTTTTCATCATACGAATCTACAATCGTGATTCGGTCTCAAAAATACGCGTAAATATATTTTAATCAAAGACATTACAAAATGTCTTTGATTTGAATCTACTAATAGGCAACTCAAATTACAAGTGACTTAATAAATTGTTTAATAAATTACCCATCGAAATGACAAATAAAAATTTGAAAGGATTAGGATTCAACATATTGCATGAGATTTATGTCTTACAGTTGTTTAGTCCTGTGTAAACACTCAAACATATATCTCCGAGAGAAATTTTTGTGTGTTTACACTGGACATAAATCTCATGCAATAAATGTCAGATGTAAACGTACCTTTTCACTTATAGGAGATCTAGAGAAAAAATCTGCCAATATATTATCTTTACCCCTAATATATTCCATCGCATAATTAATACTTGCGAAATAAAGAGCCCATCTCTGCAACCGACTCTCATAAGTTCTAGGTATCTCTTTATGTTCACCGGAAATATGTACTAATGGCTTGTGGTCTGTTCTTAGCATGAATTTATGGCCTATTAAATATTGTATGAACTTTTTCACACCATATATGATGGCAAGGGCTTCTCTGCATATGCTAGCATACTTACCTTCAGCTGGCATTAATGTTTGTGAAACACATGCAACTGGTCTTTCCATACCATCTTTAATCATAGATAAAGTTGCTCCTATACTATATGTACTTGCATCAGCTGTTAATATTAAAGGTAAATTTTGATTAAAATGAACTAAAACAATATCATTGGCTATTTCTTGTTTTATGATTTTGAAAGCATGCATACAATTATCTGACCAGTTAAAGTTAATATCTTTTTTTAATAATTCATATATAAGTTTTAACTTTGTCGCCAAATTAGAAATAGTAGTTCACTAAACCTACAAAAGATCTTACTTCTGATACCAATGTTGGTGGTGGAGCTTGTTGAATAGCTTTTACATTTTCATTTGTATTTTTAAGTCCTATTTTAGAGATATTATGGCCTAAATACTCTATTTCATCCTGTATAAATTTGCATTTTTCCCATTTTTACCGTTAAACCTGCCTTCGAGAACTTGTTAAGAACTTTGTCCAGAGTTTCAAGATATTCTTGATCATCTTTACCTGTAATTAATATATCGTCAATAAAATTAGTGATATTATCCATGCCTTGAAAAAGTTGCTCTAAAGCTCTCTGAAATTTTGCTGTAGCAGGACGTATACCATAAGGCATACGATTTACTAAATATAACCCTTTATGGGTGGACCACACTAATAGTTTTTAGTTTCATCTGGTAATTCAAATTGATTATAAGCCGCTGACAAATCAATCTTAAAAAATTTCTCACCTTCCCAAATAATGTTGCCATGTCTGGTAATGGATATGATGCATTTATTGATAGTTACCTTATAGCCTTATGGTTCCATCAACTTTTGGTACAATAACCAAGGGACTACCCCAATTACTTGTTTCAATTGGTTCAAATACATCCAGTTGTTGAATTTTCATTAGTTCCTCCTCTAGAGATTGTTTATATGCCAATGGTACAGGCCTTGGTTTGAAAAAAATTGGTTGAGCTTCAGGTTTTAGCTGTAAAGATATTTTATCAGAAAATACAGCGCTATATTTTTCAATTAGTTTAGACACTTGTAAATTACAGTCACTATTCTTTATTAAGTTTATCGGTTGAAGCTTTATGTTGAACTAATTTAAAAAGTCTCTTCCTGCTATCATTGGACCTCCTTTTTGTATGATATAAAATAAAACTTAACTACTTTAATAGTCTTGTTAAAGCTCACATTACAGTTAATATAACCCAGAGGAATAAAATTTTGAGATTGTATATAACCACGTAAGATAGTTTCATCAGTTTGCAAATCACAATTTTTAAAATGTCTGTTATAAGTTAGTTCATTCATGCACGAAACACTGGCAACACAATCTGCTTCAGTTAAATGTTGAACCCCGCTTATTTTAATGTCTAATTAGAAATTACTTTAATTGTCCGAATTATTAATCGTAAATATAGTCTCAGTTATATAGTCTACATGTTAAACTTGTTCTGCATGGTTTATAAAGTTTTGTGATTTAGCACTATTGTATCTACAAACTTTTCCCGAAATGTCCTTTCTTTTTACAAATATTACAATTATAATTAATGTACTTTTTTCATCTGTGTTTCTTACCACAACATTGACAATAATTATTATTTCTAAAATTTCCATTTTTGTCCTCATATTGTTTATGTTTTGCTCCATTGGATGAAGATGCTGTCGATGCTCTCCATTTTGGTTTCTAACCTGAATAATGTCCCTTTTGGTCCAATATGGCCTTAACCTCTCCTACTTCCTTACTTT